TCAAAGTATGTTATCTAAATGCAATGAAAACGTTTCTGTTTGCAAATTAGCAGTTTTTTTTTTGATGACTATATATAATATATAGTTTATCCAGTAATGCTCAATGCTGTAGTTATTATGCGTCTATATTCAAAATTATTCATTACCAATATGCCACAACAATTTTAGATGATAAGTGTCAAAGACGTTTTCGGCTAGCAGTCAGTTCTTATATTTTTTTTAGAAACGCTTTTACTTTTCTAAACCACTATTTTGATCATTCTTTTGTATTTAAAAGATAATGGTGGATCGGTAGGTCCATCAATATCTCCATTTCTGAGGAAATATATGTGGAAACTATATCCATCTAAAAAATATTTAATATATATCTAACTGACTTTGGACATATAGGCAATTTTTTGCCACCTTAGTATAACTGGTTGTAGAGGACAAAGGTAACGTAAATAGAAAATGAATAAATTCACCTACTGCTATGTAAATTAATCTTTTACTTGTACAAACAGCATGAGATCGAAAAAAAAGCAGACACTTGGTAGTAACACTTAATTAACACTTATTTAATAATTTTAGTTAACATAATGTCAAATTAAGAAAGCGAGTGATTCCAAACTGAAGAAGCTGATTCTGCATTATAATTTTTTTCAACAGGATGACTTCTTCTGGCTTTCCAGGTTAACTTTCAGGTTTTGAGTTTAGGCTAATTTGTGTAAACTTAACTTAATTTTTGAATGATAACGATACACAATTCTTAAAGTATAATTGTTGATTCGTTGTAATGGCAGGCCATCACATAAGTTTCATGTAGCTCAATTAACGAATTTTCGCCATTCTTCCTCGCAAGAACCCCTAAGATAGAACAGTATACAATAAATCCATACCTTTGAATTTAGATAATATTATAGGTCTTTCATCTTTTCTGATGAGTAGTGTGATAAACTGTCAAAAAAATATTTTCTAAGGACCTATTTCTTTTGGACGCTATAGCCCGACATTCCTAAACAAAGTGTTTTATGGTTTCTTCTTCTGCGGGTTCCCACAACTTCTGAAGTGAGGATTATGAGGCATGCGTAGTTTTTCTACGTGGGTTCCTATACAACTATGACCAGAAAGAACTACAGTAAGCCTTCCAACGTTCACACTATCTCTTTTAATGAGTTCCCATGATCTAGTTTTATTAAAGGTGGGCTTAACCGGGAAGTTGCACATAACTTAAATGCCTTCCATATGTTTTAAAAGCCAGTATAGTAGTTTGCGAAAACATTTATTGACAGATATTTCCATTATGTTTTATAGTAGTTTAGTCTTGAAAACTTTACATTTACAAAAAAAAAAGAATGGAAATAGTGCTTTGAATATGATTTTTTTTTATTATTCATAAAACTATAAAATGTTTTATACAACATAAAAATTAAACAATAACATTGTAACTCAATTTACAAATTTTGATTTATTTTACTTATTTTTTTATTAATTTTTATAAACTATACTTATGCAATATATAAAAGTAAAAACTAATAAAAACATGATAGATTATTTCTTATCTCATAAATTTCTATTATTAAATTATTTGCTTGCAAAAATATAGTAGGCGACTGTGTCTACCTAAATGAGTTGCGAATAAAAAATATTTATTAAATATATAAAATAAACAAACGAAAATTCTTTTCTGATCCATTAGTAATCCAATATAAAAAACACACATAGTATATCACTTGGGAAAATAAATTTTATTGAAATATTTAATTTTTTTCACAGTGTGAGTTTAATTTTACTGAATCATAAATTCCCCAGGTGGATTATGAAAAATTGAACATTTACTCAATTTGAGAAATTCTCTATTAAAATTTCAGTTATGCTTTTAAGCTGTCTTACTGTCGGACTAATTTGTTATATCAGTTATTTTTAGATATTCTGTATGATATTCTGTTATTCTTCCATTCGAAAGGACTATAAAATTTGTAGATTAAATTTTAAAATACGCATTTTTTTGTGATAGGTTTTCATATAAATTTATACCAACCATTTACCAGTAATATTTACTTTTCATTGTTCATAAATAACAAATGCTGATGGATTTAAATAAAACTTTCGGGAGGAAAGTCTATTAATAGTTATAAAAGTAACAAACAAATAGGAATAATAAGTATTAAATAAAATAAGGATCTTATGCTTTTTAAGTATAAAAGGATTAGGTATTAAATTTAACAATCATGGTCAAGTGTGCATCCTGAGAAATTTTAAGTATATTTTCAAACCTTTTGGACAGAATATGTGCTTATTAATTAATACAAATATTCCATAAGTTAATTAAGAGATATCAATAACAACAATTTCATTAAGAAAGCTTTATTGATATAGATATGGCATAAATATTGCACAAATTTGAAGAAATTTACTACTTTAATGTTGCTTATTAGTAGATTATAATGTCAGAACAATTTAAGTACACACTAATACAATCTTTTAGATCAAACCCCTAAGTTTCACAAATGCTCGTCCTGCCAAAAGATATTCGAGTTACTCGAATAGCAAAGCTTCTAAATATTTTATATTATTTTCGTAATATTTTACGCGGGTAAATTCAGGAGCAAATACTTGAACAGAATAAAAAGTTTAAACATATAGTCTTTGAGTGGATGATAGCATTGGAGCCCAATGCTTGAGTACAAACATGCATAAACTCAAATTCGTTGAAGTTTCGAAATAATGGTTTGTTAGTTGGTTACAATGATGACTCACCATAAGTTCAATAAGCGCTTTCACACTGCACTGGTCCAGCATCCTAATTACTCACTGATATTACGGTTGTTTGTTTAAGCATCATGATAAGATCAAATCCGTGTGGTATCCTATGGAGCCTCTAAGGTTTATTCATATTGATTATATTGATTGATTGAATGGTTGAGCTTTCTAGGATTATTAACAAGTAGCTTACCTAAAGCTGTTTTCTGCCTCCAGCAGAATGAGAAAAGCATGTACAAAGAAAGTAGGAAATTGTTGTTTTTTTCTTTGCCTGGTATCAGCAATGACAGTAAATATTGTGAGAAAGTCTGGCTATCTGTCTCTAATACACCATAAGACAATCACTGTTCTTTTTATTTTTATTTATTGTATTATGCTTTTTATATATTTTTATTTGTAAGTATTTGTTTGAGATTTTAACCCAGTCGTAATGTGCAAACCAGTATTGCATGTTGTAAAATTATTTCATTAACAACCCGTTATTTTGAGATAGTTGATCGAAAGAGCTCATTTAAACATATTAAGTGGTGTGAATCCCATTTCTACAAGAGTTTTTGCATAGCAGATTTTATCCTCATTACATTTTCCTTTATATTTCAATATCCTGGGACCTTAGTCAACGTTATGCCGCTCACTTAAGATAGTTAATCTTATATAGTTTTGTTTCACTATGTTGAAAATTGTCATGGCTACAACTCAACGTGTGAATTGTAGCTTATCTTTGTATTATTAACAATACTATGTGTATTTTTTTTCTATCTGAATATAATTATTTGCATAATTTTATCGATTCCAAAATTTTAGTTCTACTAGTGACGATTAGTAACACTGTGGACACTTATTAAACAATTTAGTATTTATTTGGATAAATATTTTTATTATAAATATTTTCATTATAAAGGCCTTTATTATTTACATAAACGCTACATCTGTTCTAGAAGTATGGCACAGCGTCAAGATTGATGTACAACTACGGACTAGTCAAAGATTTAGTCTACTCCAAGAAATTTTTTATATAATGTTTGCTGATTCTGTTGTAGGCATAAGGCTTCTAGCATACTTGAATTTCTGACTATCACGGGTACAAATCTCTATATAAAGCTTTAACTATTTTTGGTATCACCAGAAACCAATAGGTCAATCGTATCTGGATTGCCTTATCCTGACCTACACTAATCATATAACGCTGCTAGCAATCTTAAATTTCTGACTATTACAAATCCAAATCTACAGCACAAATCTCTATATAGAGCTTTCACTATTTATGGTATCGCTAGAAACCAATAGGTCCTGACCTATACTAATCATATATGAAAGATGTGAAAATATCATAAAATGGTAAAAAAAAATTTTCCAAATAAATTTAACACGATTTGAAAGTATCTATCAAAATACTTCAAAAATAAAATCGTGGCAATAAAAACTTAAATTAAAACGAATAAATCATTAATAATTTAAACCAGTTAAAAGTTTTTAAATTAATTAACAAATATTTTACAAATTAACAATTTTTGATTTTGTTGTTTATTCCACACAAACTTCAATTATTCCAAACCATCCATATTGGTTGTTATCCGCCAGTTCCGCTGAAATGTTTGCATATGTGCTCAGCGAGATGTGAATGTGGCGGTTGCTGGGGAATCACACGAGGGCGCACATACATTTTGCATAATTGAATTTGTTAATTTATTTTTAAACGTTCAAACTGTGCGGTTTTTTCTATGCAAAAATTTATTCGCAAAATCCGCTGTAATATTTTTGTTTTAATTACGCAAATTGTTTAATTTGAGTTTAGCGAAGGCAAATTAATTATCAACATTAAATTTTATTTGCTATGCGCACATTTATTTTATGCTATTTTTAGTGTAATTTAGTTTGAAAAAAAAAAATTTGTAATTTATGTAAATATTTTAGAAATTTAGTAGATTTCACTCTGCATAATTATGTTAAAGAGTGTGGCTTTATTGTAAATTGCTTCATTATCAACAATCGATATCGGTTTTACAAAAGTTAATTTATTTATTAAATGGAATTTAAAATACTATCTACCAATTTTATATCTAATTGTTATGAATTAAATAAATCAGTGTCACATATTTAAATATATACTTATATTAACCGATATTCACCACCCTCTGTATACTTATGCAAAACAGAAATTTAATAAGAGAATTAAAATACTATATAAATACTATATATCAAAATGCTAAATATGCTCTTATAACATTTTAATTTATTATATATATTTTTACTTTTAGCGTCGTGCTTCAAGGCGTGCTTCATTGCGCCGTGGGTCGATTTCAGCGCTACCACAAAAGTCTGCCGAAATTCCATGGGATATACTAGAACGTCTATTTATGCCCTTTCTCTTCTGTCACGCAGCAGCTCTAATTATTTCAACACTTCTTCACGCTTTCAATATATCACATGTGTCCACATTTGCAGTGTTCGTTTGGTTTGTTTTGTCAACAGCTGGCGCTGTGCTCTTCTATCACTTCGTTAAGGTAAGTACAAACCTTAAATTTCATATAACAAAAAAAAACATTAATATGAATTTATAATTAAGAAATATCATTTGAGTGGATAATACTTGTTGACAATCATTTTAAAAGAAATTTTCACATATTATTTTGAAGTTGTCAAATATTGACATAATTTGTCAAACTATTTAGAAACTCATAACGCTCTCTTTACTTATATACACACATGCTTCTGTGACATATATATGCTATGTCACAATTGAGTGTTAAATAATAATAACAAATATATATCTATATGCCTATGCTGTGTCACAGTCAAATAAATACAGATGCATGCCTATGTAACATATCTATGCTATCTTCTTCTTCTTCATCTTCTTCTTGAGTTAGTGCTATTACGCACTTTTACTCTATAATGACTGGGGGGTTAATCACTACCCCACACTAGGCTTTAACAAGGCTAAAAAATCATATCATTTATTTGTCTTTTAGTTGATGACGGACCTTAAATCAGCATATCTTCCTGAGAGTCCAGAAGTGCTATCTGAAAATAATAAAAGAAAGATTAAACTTAATTGATATGTCAGTTAGTAGTTTTATAAAATTTATTTATAACAGAATTGTATTTTACTGTCATAATTAGTAAAATCCTTGATTTTAAATTAATCTTTTTGCATTCCTAATAGAGAAAATAGAGAAAAAAAATAGAGAAACAGCTTTTTATGGGATTAAGTTTGCAAAATAAATTTTTTCACTCATTAAAATATATTCTATACGAATATATTGTATTATTATTACTTAAAAAATTTTTTTTTTTATTTTTTGCTATTTTTTATTATTTTTATAATTTATTTGTCACCAAAATGCATTACCCCAAAGGTAGAAGTGAGTTTTTCTTCTAACGTGTGGAAAATGTAAAACTAAAAATGATCTGCTATGACAGTTTAACACAATTCCCACAGAAATTTTCTTCCCATCTTCGGTAGAAGTCATGGCATAATGTCATATATTCGTATATGCACAATATTTGAAAAAAATATAATGAAAATAACAACGGAGCAGGAAAAACTGAAAATATTATTGAGCAAAACAGCGAAATTTATTTGGTTTCAAAGCAAAACATTCTAAAAATAACCAGAAAAAGTTTTTCATAAACAACATCAGCAAAAGACAACAGCAACAGCGACAAAATTATTACAGCAAAGATTTTCATTTCGTTTTCATTTTATGACGCTGCTTTTCATATAAATTTCATATGCTCAACTATTCTATCAGCATTAGACGCGGCTCATTTATTTAAATTGCATGCACAGACGTTTTCTTAACAAAATTATGCTTTTCCAAAGTCGCCAGCTAATCTTCCGGAATATTTAAGATCTTTCTCTATTTAAATGTGAAGCTAAGTACTTATAAGCGGTATTTCCTGTATCAGATATGCTTCCTGTATCATCATACCTCAACAAAAGGTGTTTATAAAGTGTACATAGGCTTCTTCTGAATCAAATTATTATTAAAAAAAGTGTGCAAAGAGATGTACTGTCTGTTTTATTATTTCTAATCAATTGCCAAAAAGTATCTGTACACTTTACATAGATTTTTATAGAGGTTTATCACTAAGCATATACTACACATTTTATCATAACAGTTTCAAGGTAACTTGATTTCGAGATACAAAATTAAGATACCTTCACATCAAATCCATTTAATCAGAAAGATGTGTTATAACTTCTTTGTGATGTATTAACTGACCCACTTATATGCTGCAATTCGCATCTCTTATATTTAATATTATGCAGTATTATAGTAGGTTATGTTAGAATATAATCTTTTGAATCGTTTGCTTGTGATAGATTTTTTACTTTAAAATAAATGGAATTGTTTTACACACATGAATGGATTTCAGACTACATAACTCTAAGCGAACACTATAGAGACACCTGCTATTCTATTTCCATCTTTTGGAATATTCTAAATATTTTTATATGCATTCGAAATACTTGATATCTTTTGAACAGTTTAAATTGGTGTAGCAAACAACATAAATCATAATCGTAATAATGTATCTACCTCAAGATTTGCTTTATATAGCATCAATTCTTAAAAACCTAATGGATATCTATCATTAACGAGACGAATGAACATTTTTGTTCATAAAGCAATCTCATGTAGAGAATCAATAAGCTCCTATTGTAAGTCCTTTGTACCTTCGAAATAATCAGTTTCGAACTATACCGATATTTGAAAATTATTAATGGATAACATCATATTCTCTATTTGAAGGATTAAATTTCTTTTGATCCGTTGATATCGGTTGTTGTATTAAAATCAACTATTGTCGCAGTAAGGTCTCCATCACGAGGTTTACATTCCATAAGATTAATTTTTAAAAATAGGACGTGATTCTTGAGAAATACGAATCAAGATGGACATGCTTTAACCAATTATTCGATTAATTATTAATAAATATAGCTATATATTGCTTCTGAATAGAAACTCTTCTATTGTAAAACCTTCGCTTTTGATAATTTATTATTTTGGAAAGATTGAAAACTTTGTTTCACTCTAGCACTAATGAATATGGGCCCTAGATAAACAGATTAATAATGCAAAAGTGGCAATTTTTTCAGCTAGTCAAGCTGCCATTAAGTAGACACATCTACTACAATTCGAAAATACAGAACATCCCTTAGTAAGCTAACTAGATGTTCAACTTACTTGAGTTTCTGAAAACAGTGACAATTCGGGCAACTGTACAGCAGATGAGCTTGCCAAAGTAGGCACTATGCTTTTTGACATACATTTTTCAGATATTAGTGTCCCATTTATAACAGTTAAATTGCCATTCAAACAAAAATATCTGATTGTCAAACAAAATTGGGCAGACGAACCCTCTTCTCAGATCTTCAGATTACCCTGGTCTGAACTATGCAAAAAACGCATCAATCAGCTCCTTCAACTAAGTTGTCACCTGCTAGGTACTACAGTATCGGTGCTGAAGGAGCACTACGTCTACCTTATAATGACTTCTTTCGAAGATATAGTTTTACAGATTAGTAACAAACTGTGATTCACCTCATGTGTCCGAGTCCATCTTTAGCTAAAAAAACACTTAAAATCTTTATAGTCCTTTCTTTACCGACCTAACAGAGCTGTCATTGTGCAAAATCAGGTATTTAACCAAATTTATAGAATTGTCAGGTTGATTTAATATTATTTAATAGGGAAGTCGCTAATAGGGAATGGCACATGTAGAAAAGCTGAACCAGTGATAGTTAACAGGCTTGTATTTGAGCTCCAATGGACTTTGAAGAGAATTTTTTATTAGTAATTGCTATCCTATTCCCATCTAATATTAAAAACTCCTCAACATTCCGATCTTTTTTCGATTGACTAAACACCTTTTCAATAATTGAGGTTTATTGTCGTATAAATGTACAACAGACACTTGAGTTGCAGTAAGAATAATTTTTAAAAAAACTGATGACTATTTGTTATACAATATAAGGACACCGATTAATATACTTTAATAATAAAGCAAAGAGTAAAAGAGTTTTTTCAGCAGTTGGGGTCATTTGTCGCAAAAATGAGCAACAGATCCTTTGAATCCTTTAGTCACAATATGTTATCAACCTCAAAACTTTGTTTCCATAAATCAATTTGTTTTGAAAATATTACTGATATGTATCATTAGAGAAACAGATGGACATGTTTTTTATACATTAAAATGTTTATATTTTACTTTACGAATGTTTTTTTAATACGTTTGCCTCAGGCCAAACTTCTCACTTAACAATTGCTTAAGAATTTCGGTATAATAAAATTCGAAATATATACATGCATATTTTTTATATAAGAAAAAATTATTTTATCATTTTAAATATTTTTTATTCTAATTTTTTATAGAAATTTTTTTTATTATACTTAAATTTCAAAATACCCATTCCAAGATTAGAGAATTTAGTTCACTAGGCAAGTCGCCTACGACTAGAAGCTTGCAAAATTCTAAGTATATAAAAATATCTATTTTAACGTTGAATTAACAAGAAGAAGAGCCTTGAAAAGTTTGGAAAGTATATAATTTTATTTATTGAATTTATCTAAGAAAATGTTGTGCTCACCATTATTGTTGTTGATTTAATGGAAGCAATTTATAAAATTGTGAAATTTTATTCACAAATGAAAATTAAGTTTTAAAATACGGTTCTCTCATAATGAATATTTAATGAACACAATTCCTTTGTGTGAAAATAATTAGAAATTATGTAAATTGCAAAACGGTATCTAAATTTGTTATGGATACAAACAAGATAATTCTTAGATAAATATTAAATAGAAATTTAAGACATTTTAAATGTATTTTATGAAATATTCACACGAACATGTATACGCAATTGGCATATAACTTTCTGGTTAGTTAGTTTCAACTATTTGGGAGAACTTTAATCTGAAATACCAAGGACATAAATTCCACTTCAATACCCTTTTCACTATCGAAAAGAGTTAAAATCGAAAAACTTAAAAAAAATAACAGTTCCAATCGTTGTTTTATTTCTTAAGCCAATTTTGATGCCTAATCCTATTATCCAGTAACATAAAAACCACTACCAAATCAGACGACAAAGTCAAAGACAAGGCTGTTGATACATTGTAAGACAAGGCAGGCAGGCAGGCAGGCATAAGGCATGTGGCATATGGCATATGGCACATGGCGTATGGCAGGCGAAATACGAATCTGCTCTTCTCCAGTAACTTTCCGGCTACTTTGTAAGACAAAAACGCAACGCAAAATTGTAAATTGGAAACCAAATTTGCATGTTTGCGCGCCAAACCACAAAGAAATCCTTTTCTCGAAGTGTTGTTTCAAAGAAAAAAAAATTAAATAAAAACAAATAAAAAGAGAAAATATAAAACGAAAAATAAACTACAGAAAATTTGCAAAAGGAAACCCATAAAGGCAACATAAACTAAAAATAGCAAAATTGTAACGACAAATCTAAGGAACCGCAGAAGAAAAAAACAAGATACAATTCTCGAAA